ACCCATCCATGGTGTGGCTCGTGGAGTCCCACTTCAGTTGAGTGAATGGAAGAGGGCAGTAGATTTCCCAGTCGTCGACATGGATGATTTCAACTTGGTGCTAGGATTGGAGTTTATGGACTCAGTAAGGCCTTTCACGTTCGAAGAGGATGGCTCGCTGACCATCAAGAGGGGACAAGGAGCATGGTCAGTCCCCGTTGCTCGAGAGGAAGCCGAAGCCAAGATGTTGTCCTCAATACAACTCGACAAGGGCATCAAGAGGAAGCAGGCAACCTTTTTGGCAACAATGGTTGAGGAGAAACCCGAGGTGCAACAGGAGAGCCCAGTGGAAGTTTCCAGGGTTCTCAAGGAGTTTGAAGATGTCATACCTCCGGAGCTACCCAAAAGGCTTCCCCCTAGAAGGGAAGTAGATCATGAGATCGAGCTGGAGCCTGGGGCAAGGCCTTCAGCCATGGCACCTTACAGGATGGCCCCACCGGAGCTTGAGGAGCTACGGAAGCAGTTGAAGGAATTGCTCGATGCTGGTTTTATTCAGCCATCTAAGGCACCATACGGGGCACCTGTTTTGTTCCAGCGCAAACATGATGGAAGCCTGCGCATGTGCATAGACTACCGAGCGTTGAACAAGATCACCGTGAAGAACAAATACCCCATTCCCCTTGTGGCAGATTTGTTCGATCGATTGGGGAACGCCAGGTACTTTTCTAAACTTGATCTGAGGTCGGGGTACTGGCAAGTACGCATCGCCGAAGGGGATGAGCAGAAAACGGCATGTGTAACTCGCTATGGATCCTTTGAGTTCTTGGTAATGCCTTTCGGCCTTACCAACGCCCCGGCAACCTTTTGCACTTTGATGAATAAGATCTTCCAGCCTTTCTTGGATAAGTTTGTGGTCGTCTATTTAGACGACATTGTGGTGTATAGTAACACTTTGCAGGAGCATGTGCAGCATCTGGCGCAAGTGTTCAAGGTTCTACGGGAGAACGAGCTATATGTCAAAAAGGAGAAATGCTCGTTTGCCCAAGATGAGGTGTCTTCTTAGGGCACCATATCAAGGCTGGCAAGATTATGATGGAGCATGACAAGGTGCGCTCCATCCAAGAATGGGGTGAGTCAAGGAATGTGTCCGAGCTACGGTCCTTCCTTGGCCTTGCCAACTACTATCGGCGGTTCATTCGAAGCTACTCGGCCAAGGCAGCACCTTTGACCGATTTGCTCAAGAAGAAGGCCCAGTGGTGTTGGGACGAGAAGTGTCAAAGGGCATTCGATGGGTTGAAGAAGGCAGTCACGGAAGAACCCGTCCTTGCCTTGCCTGATTACTCAAAGCCATTCGAGCTGCATACAGATGCCTCCGATTTTGCCATAGGTGGGGTCCTTATGCAAGAAGGGCATCCCATTGCCTACGAGTCTCGCAAGCTAAACGATACGGAGAGGAGATATCCTGTCCATGACAAGGAGATGACGGCCATAATTCATTGCTTGCGGATATGGAGGCACTACTTGCTTGGGAGTCGGTTCACCATCTACACCGACAACGTTGCAACAAGCTATTTTCAGAATCAGAAGAAATTAAGCCCCAAGCAACCTCGTTGGCAAGACTTCTTGGCCGAATTTGACTATGCCATGGTGTATAAGCCAGGCAAAGTAAACTTTTTCGCCGATGCTCTAAGCCGCAAGGCTACCCTTGCAGCTACTAGTCGCGCCACGAGCACCATCTTGGATAGAATCAAGGATGGTCTTACTCAAGATCCAATGGCTAAGGGGCTCATGAACCTAGCCAAGGAAGGCAAAACCCGAGGGTAGAGGATGGGATCCTCTATACTGCTGGGCGGCGACTATTCGTGCCTAAGTGGGATAATCTTAGGCGAGATATCATGAAAGAGTGCCATGACTCTAAGTGGGCTGGTCATCCTGGCGTCTTACGCACATTAGCACTCTTGGAGGTGAATTACTATTGGCCACACATGGGGCAAGATGTGGAGGCCTATGTAAAGACTTGTCTTGTGTGCCAACAAGACAAGGTCGAACAACGCGTGCCGGCTGGGTTACTTGAGCCACTTCCTATACCTGAAGGGCCATGGGAGAGCGTATCAATGGATTTCATTTCAGCCCTACCCAAGTCAGATGGGTATGGCTCGATCATGGTGGTGGTCGATCGTTTTTCCAAATATGGCACGTTCATACCGGCACCAAGGGATTGCACAGCCGAGCAAGCAGCCCATCTATTCTTCAAGAACGTGGTAAAATATTGGGGCTTGCCTCGGAGTATCGTCAGTGATCGAGACCCAAGGTTCACAGCAAAATTCTGGACAGAATTGTTCAAGTTGCTTGGGTCCGGATTCCACTTCTCAACAAGCTTTCACCCCCAGACGGATGGGCAAACCGAAAGGGTGAATGCCTTGCTGGAGCTATATCTCAAGCACTATGTGAGTGCCAACCAGCGGGATTGGGCTAAGTACATGGATGTTGCCCAATTCTCCTTCAACCTACAAAGATCCTAGGCTACGGGCAAGAGTGCCTTCGAAATTGTCATGGGACAGCAACCCTTGACTCCACAAGGGATCGCCTCGGGGTACTCAGGGAGCAGCCCAACTGCTTACAAGCTTGCACGAGGGTGGCACGAACAACTCGATATATCCAAGGCTTACTTGGACAAGGCAGCCAAGAAGATGAAGAAGTGGGCTGACAAGCATAGGCGCCCAATGGAGTTCCAAGTAGGAGACTTGGTGATGGTGAAGCTGCTACCCCAACAATTCAAGGTCTTTCGACAGGTGCACAAGGGTCTTGTGCGAAAGTATGAGGGACCCTTCCCCGTACTAAGGAAGGTTGGGAAAACATCATACAAGCTTGAGTTACCCTCAAGGTTGAAGATTCATCCGGTGTTCCACGTGAGCATGCTCAAGCCCTATCAAGCTGACCATGAAGATCCAACAAGGGGCGAGTCACAAAGGGCGCCCACGGCTGTGGTGGCATCCTTCGAGAGGGACATCGAGACAATTGAGGCCAAGAGGCTCATAAGAAAGAGAGGGGTTCCAAGCTACAACGAGTATCTTGTTCGTTGGAAGGGTCTCCCGGATAGTGAAGCAACGTGGGAAAAAGAAGGGGACCTGTGGAAATTCCAAGACAAGATAGCTAAGTTCGAAGGGCGGCCTTGACGGGGACGTCAAGACTTGGGTGGGGGAGCATGTCACGACTCACACATTCCCACCCCTCACTAGGGCCACAAGGCAGCAAGTTATAATCGTGGCCAGGGGGAATGCCCTTGGTGCATGGCTAGCAAGGCCAGAACACCCTTCCCCCTATAGAGCTTTATTTAGCTCCCTACCATTTACCCTAGTGAACACGCCCATGACAGTAACACAATAATGGGCCATGGGCCGGGCTTAATGGACTCCAAATGAGCCCAAACTTGGTGGCCCACCGTTTTTGGGCCCAATAAAGATGATGGTGCAGCCAGAATTTGAAGATGAGGCCCACAACTTTCCAGAATGCACGAAGAGGTTCGTGGTGCATCCGGAGGTCTCTAGAAGCCTCTAGGGACAACTTGAACATACTTGAGATGCTAGAACTTTGTAGATGGTTCTAGAATATTGTACATAAGCCTATGTAATCAGAAAGTGTATAGAGTTCTCTAGAACCCTCCATTTGAGGAGGTTAGGAAGCATCTAGGTTAGAACACTCTAGAAAGGGATGGTGCCTATAAATAGGAAACCTCCCACCCATTCTTGCTCATGTACAGACACTTGTATTCTCTCAAGCGTTTATAAAAAAGCCTTCTTCCTTAAAGCTTGCTCATATATTCTCACTTGTGCTTTCCAAGCAAACCACACTTAACTAACAACATCAATATTTAGCTTTGCTAAGCAATTGGGAGCCTTGACTAGTAGTCTAACGGGTGGTGACTCTAATAGGCCGCGTGCAAAAGACTAAGGGAACTAGTCAGCGCGTGACAACCTGCTGAGTTAAACTTTTTACGCCATGAGTTCCTGACCAATCACATAATTATGTATGTTATAACGTGTGACCCCACACGGCCACACTTATAGGTTATAAGTTTAGCCATAATAGAACAACAAATAAAGTCTGATGCAAAAACGAACTAATCAACAACTAAAGCATCGATGCTCGTCCACAAAAAACACAACTTGCATTGATTGTGGGTTGTAATCAATAGAAATGCCTTCATTTTTTTTTTTGGAATATAAATAGCAATGCCTTCATATGAATTTGCTAATTATAGAAAAAGAATAACATAATTGTTTTGGATAAAGAATCATACCAAGTAGATGATACTGTAAATTTTTTTCATAACTCATCATATTTTACTAGTAGTTGAATACAACTATACAAGGGCGGATCCAGAAATTTTTTATAGCCCGAACCGAAGTTATACATAATTTCAAATAATAAATCCATAAAGGGATATGAGTTTAAGAAATCTACACTTATAAAAAAAAATGTGCAAACAAGGAAAATTGAACCCTTGACATTTCAAATCTATGCAACAAGTAACTAAACAACTAAGCCTACTATAAAACTTGAATAGTTGTATAAGATTTTTTATTTATATAATATCAAAATTGGGGCCAAGGCGTAGGCCTCCTTGGATAGTTGGATCCGTCTTTGGTTGAATAGTTATGCATAAAGCTATTCAAAAAGATGTTTGACAAATTACGTGACATAAACATAAATGTTGTATAAAATGACAAGATAATTAATTAAAATTTAATATTTTTAATAATTAATATAGAATTTTAACAAAAATATTGTTAATATTAATTCAACTTTGTTTTTCCTTAATTATGATCTCAAATTCTCAACTCAGATAATCATTTTTTTGTATAGGAAATCTGAAGTAACAGCAAAGTGAAAGTTTCCCTCAGCCTTTCATTGAAGCTATAAATATCAAACAACATACAATATAATATGATCGATTCTAGACAAAGTAGCTCTAGTCAGCACAACGTTATTTCTCTACATCCCTCCTCAATAATCTTCCTGCATTTTTGTCGGATTCACGCACTCTTTAGCTTTATAAATTGTAAATGGCCTAGCTTGTTAGCTAACTAATTCCCATTTTTATTTTTATTTTTAGTATAATTGTTATTGGCTTAGCATAGTAAAATGCAAGGCTCAAAAGGTAAAGCAGAAAAATGTAACAATAATAACTCTACTATGCCAAAATCACATAGTTTTAAGATATGTTTTTGCATATATTGTGGTAGAAGGTTTCTGAACTCACAAGCCTTAGGCGGCCATCAAAATGCTCATAAAAGGGAGAGACGAGACGCCAAGCATCGGAAACAAGAGATGATGACGACGGCGACGACGATGATGATGATGATGGGGAGGAGGAGTTTCGAAATGCCGCCATACCTTTTAGTCCAGCCCCATGGTCTTGCGCAGCACCAGATGATTAATGGTTATAGTTTGCCTATGAGTGAGTATTGGCCGGGAGTATATCGCCTGGATGATGGTGCACTGAATTTTTATGTACCTGCAGCAGAGTCTAGTAACGATCAAGTTGTTCAAGCTGATGATGTTCAATTGTTGCCTGATCTCAACCTGGAACCCCCTCTTTAGTTATTAATGACGTCACTCTTTTTTAGTTTTGTTAACGAGTATCAATTGCTGCTGTTTTATGATTTTACATTTTGATTCGTAAATTTCATGTATCAGTTCCAATTGTATTCAGTTATTTGTGATAAATAATTTTTACTAAATTTTGACTTTTTTTTTTTAAAAGAAATTATAGAGTCATGTTATTGACATATGGAGTTTCCGTACAAGTGTATGATGTATGAAATATATCAGAAGCTCACTTTGTGGCCGATTATCTCAAAACTTATTTTTTTTCCTTTTTTTTTTTTTAATTGTAACGTGTGAGATTTTAACAAACATTAACATCTATGTTTGATTTTATACACATTAATATTAGTCAAAGTGATGTATGCGCATAGTAATTTATCGGGTAATTCAGTACCTTATGAGCACATTGACTAAACTCACTTCTTTGATACGGAGTAGTACGGTGAAAATCCTCTAACGAATTGGTCAACCTGTTACAAATCATACTGGGCCTATCCGGCTTATCTTAGCCCAAACATTACTCTAGAATTGGGCCTGGTTTTTCTTTCACTCTTTTGACGAACTTTGCCCAAATTTAATCAAGTACTCCGTATTTTCTTTTTTCACAATTTAAACTCACTGGACTGAAGTAACCGGCGAAACTTTTTCCGGCTAAAAAATGAGAATCGGTACCGCAGCGCTCTACTGCCGACGGCAACTCAATTGTTTCCGGTATTTTTCTTCTTCATCCTCCGGTAACCTTTCTCTTTTCTACATTTTTTTTTTGGAAAATGCTGCTTTTTCTGTAAATTTGTCTCTTCACTTTTATTTCGATTTTAATCAATGTGAAGTTTGATTAATTCAATAAGTATGTTTGATTGTTAAATTTGGTTACTGTAATTTTAAAAAGTTGGATGAACCGATGAATTATCTTCAAAATTAATACTGGAGCAGTTTTAGGGTTATTAAATTAATCAAACTTTACATTGTTTGCATTGTTGTGGATAATCAATAGAGCGGTTACGAGTACTATTTTAGGATGTTCGAAAAAAGATAATTAAATTGAAATAGAGTTATGTGAGGATTATTCTTATGGTGCAACTACCATACAGGAGTCTTAATAAATTTATGAGCTTAATTAATTAATGTGATAAATACTACTGTATTTTAAATGGAGGTTGAAGAACAGAATTATGAATGTTACATTCAAACACCAACTGAATTTAGCTAAATATGAGGTGCTTAACACCGAAAATATGAGAGTAATATGAGTACATTATTGTGTAAAGCGCAAATGCCTTAAAGAAGTAGACATATCAGGGCTCTCCTCTTTGATTCTCTTCTTCTTATGTGTTTGCATCTTCTATTAATTGACTTTAAAATTTATACTTTGTAATACATTCGATTATTATCTTATTGAATACTTTGTAATATTTACAATCATGGTTGGCAACTTGGCATCATACTTTCATAGATTACCGCAGCAACTTAGGGGCCTTGTTTCTTATTTTTCGGCTTGTATTAAAAAGGAAGGAGTCCACTAAATTAACTACAAATGAACATTTTATGCCGTCATAACAATTAATGCCGTGGAACTTAAAGTTAAAAGGCCATGTTCTAGAATCTGCTGCTTTAGTTTAAGCACTTTGTTGGGAAATTGAAATGAGCAAAGAAAGGTCAATCAAAATTGATATATTATTTGGTCAAGCTAAACCCCTCTAGTAAAGTTCTACTTATGTATGATTTACTTGGATTTTTGCATCCGAAAGTCTCGCACGCACTCATCGCATATTTCCATCAAACTCTGCTAACAATTTCTCTTGGTTATCCTGACAACAAACTACACTTATGCTGCCATCCACCCTTAATTTTTTGAGTTTGCTGGATTTTACACACTCCTTTCCTCGTACCAATTATCTTGGATAACCTTACAAGTATATAGATAACATTTTTTTTGAGGAAAGTATATAGATAACATTATAACAATATGTTATTAAATAGTTTCTTGTACATGCACCCACGAGTACACGGGAACACTGTTTGACAACCAAGAGTCTTAAACTTTATTCTGAGGGCCTAGATCTTCTATCAAGAGAATCCCTACACAAATAGGGCTGGTCCTGTATCTTTGGTGCTAGGAACTCGTCCAGGCCTGCTGTTATGGCATGAGCATATTTTGTATAATTTTAGAAGAAAGTGGAAAGTCATTTTTGTACACCCACAAGGCCACAATTCAGAGGTATGACATTCAGGATGGAGTATTGACCAAATTTTTTCCTGGCTATGAAGAAGTGAATAAGATACCTTCTTTGCTTAATTGGTGGCTCGTATTAGCATGCCATTGAGTTAGACTAAGCCTTATCTCCTGGGCTGTTTAGCCATGAGCCATTCGAAATCCTTGTTGCTGGATTGCTAGTGAGTGTGAATGTCTCTCATATGGAAGATATTGATTGATATCCTCCCTTATTGTAACAAACAAATTTTGCATCCTCTGGAGATTATATTTCTTGTGATTGTTCATTATTGTCATGCTCTATTTTGTTTGAGTGAGAAACTATGAATAACTTGCATAGTTGCATTAGCATACATGAAAGATGTGCATTTCCTTTAAATTTTCATTTATCTTGATACACCCTTTGATGTACAGAACACATCTCATTCATCAAAGATGTAGCCGCAACTTGCATCCCCGAGCGCTTGCCTAATTTACTGAATATGCTTCAGACAAGAGGTAGCCATGTTCTGTGATTTGATTCTTGATAATTTCTTATATTTGATATACTTCATAATCTTAGCCATAGTCACGTTGCTATCCATTTATGTATAATAGTAATCTATCTGCTTTTCTATAGGGGATTCCATTATTTCACCTGAAGACAAGCATGGGATTTTCCCCCTTGCAATACCCTTGTCGAAAAACAGCTCAGGTATAGGCAATGTATCCGATTTTGACATATATTAGGGAACATAAACTGATTACCTCCATACATGTTTTTTGGCTGGCAGGTGCTATGATTTCTCTGTTAAGGTGGCCAACAGCACCATCTGGGTAAATTTTTTAGTGTTCTTTCTTTTTATCTGCCCTTTGGCTCCCATGGTCATGTATCCTTATATATTTCTGTGCTTCTAGGATAGATATGCCGGTTGTGCAAGTCCATAAGCATGGTGTGTTTCCATTAGCCAAGAATGTAAGTGGAGAAAGCATAATTTTGGTTCAATGGCATAATTGGATTTTCAGAGCCCAACTAATCTACTTGTAGAACTATATTGTTTTTATCTCTTTAAATTGCTGCTCCTTTGTTAATTTAGGTTGACCAGTATCTTCATAGAATGTTGGTTGAACAAGATTCCAATGGCCTTAAAGATAGAAACAGAGAGCTGTTAAATGTTTCTGCTAATGCTGGAGAACTGTACACAGAGGGGAGCTTCATAGGTTCACAATTGCCAGACTTAGATACCTATCTTTTAAGGAAGGTAATGTGACGATCATAGTTCTATCACTTCTATGTACATTATAGCATATTCAACTTCCTGGTTGAAGCATTGTTTTTCTCAGGTTGGTGTTTTTCCTGATGTTTTAGAACGCAAAATTGACCATGAACTTGAGAAAGGGAATCATGTAAGATCCTCATACTGGACTTGGCTTTACAATGTTTAAAATAATTTCTTGGGTAAAATTATTTCCTATATTCTGTAATATATATCTTCACATATTCTTGTGCAAGGTTTCAGCTCTAGTAACAGGGGAGTTTTATGCAAAGAAGCAGCACTTTCCTGGCTTTGGACGACCTGTTGCATTCAATGCACAAATTTTGCTCAAGTTTGTCTCATTTGTGATTTGTCCCTAAATGTTAAGTATAGTATATTATGTAAAGAACATACCTTGTTATTTTGTTCAAAAGTTATTTCCTTATTGTTACAGGATTGGACGCGATTCAGAAGCTAAAGATGCTGCAAGGGGTTCACTAAAGTTACCCTGGTGGACTTTGGGATACAAATACCAGGTATGCAATATGTTCTTCTAAGCTTGATCTGTTTCCTTTTCTTTTAAAGGTCATAATCTGACTTACAAGGCTATTGTGACAGGAAGTTGCTGAAATAGCAAAATGGAAAGACGAGCAAATTTGTTATGTTAAGAAAAAGTTGACTGAAGAAGGAAAGCGGCAGGATCTGAACAGGGGAAAGGAGCTTGCTCAGGTTTTGTATAGCCTATTGCTCTCTTGTTTGCTCAGGGAATTTATGTGCACGTGATATGTGTTGAACTTGTGCTGTTTGAATATTAAATCTGCAGATTGCATTGGATCAAGCTGCATTTTTGCTAGATTTGGCTTCTGTCGAGGGTTGTTGGGATGACTTTGTGGATCGCATTAGCGAATGCTACAAAGAGGCTGGTCTCCCCGAATTGGCAAGATTTATATCATTTAAAGGCTAAATTTGAAGTGCAAATGTCTTCGCCTCCCTGATCAGAAGCTTGTAGTCTCAGAAGAGTGTAAATCAACTTCGAGTTGCCTGGTATCAGCAATTTTGCATCATTATTCTTCACCTTAGTTTGACATGGTGTAACCTATGCTATTCAGACTCTTCATTTTACCTCTATGTGACGGATCCTACACACTCGGACATATATAGGACACTTCAACCCTTCATTTTGGGTTAGAATCATTGATTTTTTTCACAAAATAGCTTAGTTGAACAATTGGACATGTATCCGTGTCGGACAAGAGTACCCCGTGTCCTAAATTATGATAACATAGGGTGTAGCTTTATCTGAAACTGCAATGATAAAACTCATAGAAGTGATTGTCTCATTCATGCATAATTGTTATGGAAAATACTTTATGTTGTTCAGATTTTGGCTTTGGTGATGTATACTTAGACAAAACATTTTGTTTCAAAGCAGCGTTTCACATGGCATTTCAATTTTTTAACGGCCTATATCAAAATTATCGCTAGTTCAAATATTGGTACTGCATAGAAGTCATATTTGGGCATGATGGTGAATGTAGAAATTCCTAATAATTGTCTTAGTTTAGCTTATCCTTTTTGAAATCATAAGATGCTCATAAGTTGAAGTGCTTTTTTTATGCCAATCACTGCGGGCCTGCGGCTACTTGATCAATTAGTTGTACTGTAACATACTTGTATTTTTACCTAAAGTTGTGTTGTTAAATCGGACTCTAAAAATGCCGCTATCAAGTATCAACATCCATATAAAGGCATCTAATATGGGACATGAATTTGTCGAGGTATAATTAACTGGTGTTTCGGGTGAAAACAATGGGACCTTGCCGAAGGTCCGCTGAAACGGAGAAGGCTGGATTCGGTCCAAGTTATGTTGGGCCGAAGGTTTCCTGCACAGTAAACACACGTAAACTAGCCTCGGGGGTGTTGCCGAGGAAGGCCCCTCCGATGCTAAAGTCAGTACAATGTGTAAGAAGAGGACACTATGCAAGAGAGTTTGTTGCTTGAGGCTTTAATGGAATATATCAGAATATATGAATGAACATATGAATGAACATATGAATGAACATATTGATGGCTTTTATACCTCATCATACATGGAGAGGTTGGGCCTTAGCCCAATTGGCTTGCTTTGTGGGCTGACCTTTGACTTTAGCACAATTGGAGAGTTGAACCTTGACCTTGAGCTTTTAATTGGATCATTTAATGCCTAGGCCCAATTGGACTAAATTGGAACCAAACAACTTGCCCCCCAGACCCGATTTGGAAGGATGACGGGTCGGGTTTGATTTAATTCAGAAAAGGAGGGAAGTAAATGATTTAATTAATCCAAAAATTTGAATTTAAACCGTAATTAATGAGATAACAACGGTTAAAGCAGATGATTGTGGAAGTTGGACGGATAATGGGCAGTTTAATCACAAGATCATGTGTTTAACGGTTACTTAGTGGAGTATTTAAGAGAAATTAAAACGCAGACTCCTCGTATCCCATTCCTGGAGATATAAACAGAGGCGCGTCATCTCTCCTCACTTATTCACCAACACAAACCCAGAATTCTCGAGAGAGAAACCAAGAACCCGCATCAAAACTTCGCAAATTCCCCGAGCATTAAGCTTAGAAACTGAGACTTGCCACTACGAACTCGTAAATCGGCAACTTTCGCTTCAGATTAAGGTAAATTCCTTTGATTTCAGTTTATTTTTCTTCGAATTCGAACTCCTTCCCCTTTTCTTTCGACTTTTTTCTTCGAAATAATCAATGGCAAGAGGAGTTAGAGGTAGAGCCCGTGCTCCAAGAAGAGCAAGGCCGATTCCCGATCCTAGGAACAGGATTGGGACCTGGAATGGACAAAGGCCAGAGTCTGACCCTGCTGAAGGGATTAGGGCGACTCCCCTTTCCTCGGCTCCTCCTCAGAGAACGGAGGAGCCGAGCGCTTCTGGACGGGATGATGAAGTTCCCGCTGTCCTTTGGGATATCCTCCCCGGGTTTTCAGAATGGGAGAATGCCGAAGTTGCTTCGGCCATGATAAAGAACCGCCCCTACCCATGGTGGGTGGAGAATGCCGATCAATATCGATTTGCCGAGCAAATTGAGTTGCATTACGGCATTTTTGAAGCTGATGGGTATTGGTGCCGAATGCCCTCGACATCCGATAGAATCCATCGTCCACCCCCGGGGTATGTGGGGGTGTACACAAGACAGCTTCAGTACGGGCTGAGGTTCCCTTTGGACGTATTCGTCCGAGACTTGCTGATCCATTACAACATCTCTCTATGTCAGTTAACTCCCACCAGCATCCGAAGGGTGATGACATACTTATGGGTCTGCAAGTTCTTCAAGTATGTGCCGAACCTGCACTGCTTCAAAAAGCTCCATCGGCTAGTGCCAAATATTCAAAGTGGGCACGGAAGCCATGGTTCTGGGTGGTACCGGATTGAGTCCCGGCCCCAATACCTAACCATGTGGCCAAACGACTCTTCAGACAAGGACTGGAGAGGTCAATGGATTTGGGTTAGGGCACCCACAGATCCGGGCCACCCTTGCGTCTTCAGCGTTCCCCGGTACCTCGCTGAGCCTGATCCCGAAATGGGAAGTCTAGGTCCCCCCGCAGATAACGGGGCGGATCCGAACCTTGATCAGCAACATATCTTCGGCAAGCTGCCGAACCGGGGGGGCAGTGGCCGAATGCAGCATATCCCGGAGACTTGGCTCCCCGATACGCATTACGTTTTCCAAGAGAACATGCTAGCAGCTGTTGGCCTCAGCCGAAAGTTTAAGGATGGTAAGCTTCTTCGGCTGGGGCCGAGGCTTTTTAACTATCTCTTTTTCTTCTCTCGCTTCGCTTTTTTATGCTGTGCCAACCTATCTGAACTAACCTTTCCCCTTTCCTTTTTCAGAGCGGGACGAGACTAACGTTGGCATTAACTACGCTCGTCTTGGTGTCAACCGAGAACGAGTTGTAACTGAACGGGCCCCGTCTATCACTGAGCCGAGGCATAGGGAAGTTCATCTAGACTCTTCCCACTTCCAAATTGAGGCTGTTGCTCTGTATCAGAGGCAGAAGCCTTGGTGGAAGAAGAGAGACCCCTGGTTTCAACTGCTGGACGAAGAAGCTGAAGCTGCCCGTACAGCAGAAGAGGTTGCACGGGTTCTCGAAGCTTGCGAAGGAGGAGAAGGGTCCTCCAGAGCTGATGAAGCAGAAGCTGCAGCTAGAGCAGCTGAAGAAGACGAGGCTTTGCTGAAGACCTCGGTGAGCTTTCAGACTTAACTTTGTCTTTCTTTTTTCTTTTTTTTTTTTTTTTTTTTTTACTCACATTCTTCCTCCCCCCTGTCTGTTACAGTCTGAAGAGAGTAACAGACATAGAGAAGGGAAAGCTCCTGTTCGTCCCGAAGACCAAATACAAGGAGAGTCTTCAGACTCAGATATGGACGAGCAGCCCCTTTAGAAAAGGCGCCGAAGGATGGCCATCATCGGCCCTCATGACTTTCAGCGGAGGCCGATGACCATCGGCGTTGCAATAAGGGAACCCGAGGAAGGCAATGGATCGCCGAGGGTTCCCCGGCCACCACCCCAATCACCTCAAAAGACCCCTCCGCCACCTCCTGAGATGGAGGTGGATCAGAGAACTCCCGAATCTAAGGGAGCGGTCCAAGAAGAAATTAAGGAGAGTGCTGCTGAGCACGAAAACAAGGATGCCGTGATGTCCAGTGCTGAGGGCTTCACGGCAGACATCGCAAGAGAGGTTGAGGCTTTCGTCCTCACCCCTGAAGAAGAGGAGGTCATAGTAATTGACTCCTCTGAGAAGGATGATGCTGAGCCATCCAAAGCTAATCAAGCTCCATCGTCATCCTTCCCTTCCTTCCAGACTCTGCAATCTGGAGAAATGGGTTTCTCGGCCCCCCGAATTCCAATCCCAGACCACATCTGGGACCTCATATGGGGTCAGAACCGAGAAGGAGCTGCAGCCTACTTCGGCGATTTTGCTGGCATGTCCGAAGTAGATAGGGCAAGGATCTGGTCGCTGAAGGCCACTGCTGGGATGGGCGAATCCAGCAGATCAGTTCCTGACCCAGCCAGGTCTAACCAACTGCTGATGATGCATGTAATTTTCCTTGTCTTCATTTCCTCTGAAATTCAGCTCTATTTTTATTATTATAAATATATATATTTTTTTATTTATTATTATTTTTTTTTGTCTTCCTGTTTTCAGTTCGTGCACAATCAGACTCTCACTGTAGAGCTGATAGATACCCTACAAGATAGGGTAGACGCTGCTGTGCACGACAAGAAGGTAGCTGAAGAGGAATTAAAGCTTGCTAAGCTGAAGCTAGCAGCAGCTGAAGAGAAGCAGCAGAAGGGTGAGGAGTACGAGAAAAGAGCTGCTGAAGCCCTCAAAACCTTCTGCGATGCTATGGAGAAGGAAGTTTTTCCCCCACTGATGGAAGGGGAAAAATTCCTCCAGGAGCATATGGGAGTGGACGTCTCCAAATTCAAGGCTGCTGTTGAGAGCCGTATTCAGGAAGGAGCTGCTGCACAAGCTGAAGTGCAGCAGCGTCTAGAAGCTCTTGAAGCCAGCCGAATGGCTGCTGAAGAGCTGCTCCAGGCCAAAGATGTCCAACTCTCAGAGGCTGCTGCTACTGCTGAAGCTCAGAGAGCTAAACTCCATGAGGCTGAGGATCAACTGATGACCAAAAAAGTTGAAGTGGCCCAGGCTCAGACAAAGGCTTCCCAAGTTCAGCAGGAGCTGAATGAGCTGAAAGGTTCCTCCTCCAAGGTTGCTGATGAGCTGAAGAAATCCAAGGAAGACTTGGAGGAGACCCAGAAGAAGCTGGCTGATGCTGAGGCTCTACTCAAAGTCCGTGTCTATACCCAAGAGGAATATGAGATGGGTTTCAGAAACGGGTTCAGAGTATGCCGAAGAGTCTGCCTTCATGCTGAACCGAAGCTGGACTGGTCTAAATGTGCTGAATGGGTCCAGAATCCCGAAGACCCTCATATGAAGTATGCAACTCCAGTCGAAGCTGAAATTCTTAAGGCTGAGGAAGCCGAAGAGGAAGCTGAGAGAATGGAGTTGGAAGCTGAACAGAGGGAAAGGGAGGCTCGGCAGAGTGCAAAGCCCGCTTCTTCTGCTGCTGGGGCTGAGGCCACCATGGGGCTCAACACTGATCAGTCTGATCCTCAGGCTGAAGCATAGGAACTCGGGCAGTCGTCTTCAGAATCTTGCGGTTCATCATGCGCTTAACTTTAGACTTGCCGCTTTCTGAATTTTTTGCCTTGTTTTTTGCTTCAGCTTGCCTTGTCGTACAACAGTTTATTTTTTTGCTTATGTACGTATTTCGGCAGCTGTTATTTTCCGCTTGTGGGCGGCTGCCGATACAGTTTA